TATGTCATGCACCCTTGATAGAACCCTCTATCCTACTAGGATCCCAGCTATGTCACATGTGAACACCCTTGGCAGAGCCCTCTATCCTACCAGGGTCCCAGCTATGCATCTGGTAGAGGCCAGGTTAGGTTGATGAGGTTATTTCTAAACTCATTAGTTATACAATATACTGCTGTTTCACTTTCTTGTGGGACAGGAATCTTGTTATTTTTTGGGGGAAGTGATAAATCCATGAAGGTCACACAATTTCTTGGGAATTGTTAGAATCAAAACCAAGTGCTAAGCCCACAAGGGTCATACAGCGCTGCAGGGCTGGGGGTGTTGTTTGATCAGAAAGTAGGAAGGGTGTACTAATATTATAATCAAAACCAAGCACTAAACCCAAAAGGATCATTCAGCACTTGCAAGGACGTAGAGGACAACAAAGGTAGAGTTAGAAAGGTCTGTGATTTCTTGGCAATAAGAGGCACTCAGACATGATCCAAGGAATGGGAAGGCAATTCCAATGCCTTGGATCAAGTTTCACTTGCTTTAAGGAACTACATTTGGGACTCAATCCTTGAAATAAAAATAACATATGTGCTATCAACTATTTTCATACCATGGTAAATTATTATTACATTGACAAGTGTTAAATGTAAATGAGCCGTAAAGGAATTTATATTTCTATCATAACAGAACTTTGATAAGGATTTCCTCTATCCAGATCCTCTACACCAGCTAATTTGATCATCTTAATGTGAAAATTAATTTTTATTATCATTAGGGAGTGCACTAAATCAATAGGGAAAAATAGAAATAGCAGACCAAAGTACTGGTGTTCATAGAAAACACAAGAATTGTAGACAATAATACAATGCCCTCCCAGGAACCTTGGAAGTGCTCTCACTGTCACTGAAGGAAGCACACCACTGCCTAACCATACCACGGGCAGGATTTGAACCCACGGTCAGAGAGTCGTGGTATGGTTTGTTTGCAATCGTGTCATTACGATTTTGTGAGACACCACTGCCTCTCAACATCACGTGTAATTACTGCCATAATCAAGAAAGCCAAGATGATTTTTGTCCAAAAAATCAAAAAATGTTAACAGGGCAGAAAAGGATCATTAAGTTTAAAAAAAAAAAAAAAAAAATTTGAACCAACCAACTGGATTTCAGATCTGGTGAACACCCTCGTACATTACCTACCTACCTACTCCCATTTCAGCTCAGCAGGTGGCCCTGTGCCATGTAGGCTATAGGGTTATGCATGTGTCAAGCCTGCCTCAAATCAGTATATGTATATATTTAGTCAGGCTGAACACGTACTTCAGGAGCCATCAGTCTATCAGCATCGTGTGTGCCAGCATTAGGGACTTCATTACCGAAGCTAACCTAACCTAATTTATACACAATACCTTAACCTATCTCTTTCTCAGTGCCTCTTTTGTTAACATACTAAACATCCATACATCTTTTGTAACAGCAACACACCTCTTCTTCTTTTCTATATATTATCAACAACACACCTCTTCTTTTCATACAAAACAGATTCATCAATTCGTCTGGTTATAATTATATCAAATATTCATAAATATCCTAGGTAGTAGGTTAGTAGACAGCAACCGCCCAGGGAGGTACTACTGTCCTGCCAAGTGAGTGTAAAACGAAAGCCTGTAATTGTTTTACATGATGGTAGGATTGCTGTTGTCCTTTTTTTCAGTCTCATGAACATGCAAGATTTCAGGTACATCTTGCTACTTCTACTTACACTTAGGTCACACTACACATACATGTACAAGCATATATATACACACCCCTCTGGGTTTTCTTCTATTTTCTTTCTAGTTCTTATTCTTGTTTATTTCCTCTTATCTCCATAGGGAAGTGGAACAGAATTCTTCCTCCGTAAGCCATGTGTGTTGTAAGAGGCGACTAAAATGCCGGGAGCAAGGGGCTAGTAACCTCTTCTCCTGTATATATTACTAAATGTAAAAGGAGAAACTTTCGTTTTTCCTTTTGGGCCGCCCCGCCTCGGTGGGATACTGCCATTGTGTTGAAAGAAAGATTCATAAATATGTGTTAAGTTTTTATATTATATAGCAATCTCTTTCCCTACTAATTCTTCTTTGTACAATATTATTACAATCACAGCTAAGCACTAACACCACAAGTCATACACTAACTATGCAAAGCAATATACAGTGGTACCCTGAGTTTTGAACTGCTCTCGACTCGACCAATTATGTAAGTGTATTATTGTAAGTGCTTTTCTAAGTGTATTTTTGGGGGGTCTCAAACGGACTAATCTAATTTACATTATTCCTTATGGGAACAAATTTGTTCAGCAACGGCACTTGAACAGCCTTCTGGAACGAAGAAAGTTCGAAACTCAGGATACCACTGTATTATAATAAAAAAAAAATACTAAACCCACGAGAGTCGCCAAGCAATATAAAGAAACAAATTTAGTCATGGAAAGACAGTTCATACTTAAACTACTGCTATATGTAACACACACTTAAGTTACATTTAGGGGAAAAACATTTACTACAGTGTCTTTCCACTAAATGTTTTTGAAAGTTAAAAAGGACAGGATTATAAATATTTATTAAGGTCATTAAAAAATTAAAAAAAATTTCATTGGTTTATTGTGTAGCATTTAAAAAAGTGGGAACATCAAATATAATGAACTTTCATATATAAAATCAAACCTTATGCCCACTACTTTCTTTTCCCTTTGTTGATATCTGAAATACCCTTGAAAAAAAATAATCAAGGGGACCAACTGCAGTGCTCCTTTTTGCTGCATGTAAATTAAAAATCAATTAGAGCACTAGGGTAAATTTTTAAAAGGCATCTGAATTGTTTGTCCTTTGGGTGAAAAAAAATCAGGTTGGGCCAACACTTGACACTACAAGTCTGGCTGGTCAGGTACTCACTTGACACCTCAAGTGAGTGCCTGACCAACCAGACTGTGGTTCATTTGGGTTTGTATGCACTGGCAGTAACACCGGGTTTTAATGGGCCCTGATCCACCATGGGGCACTGACCTGGAACACCCTCCAGGTATACAGTAAACATCATATATTATATATACATTATATACATGTGAATATCACACAGATAATGAGAATGCTCACCAAAAATTGTTTTAAGCAAATGAAATATGGTACTCATCATTGAAGTATGCTGGCCCCACCTACCTAAAAACCACAAAATAGGGCATCCCCCGCACTCTAACAACATCCTTAAACAGTCTAAAGGGAAATGATTAACACACATTCACCAGGGTTTCATGGTTTAAATTCAACCCTGAATCATGGTGGCATCCTAAAGCCATGGGAGTGGGTTTATATCCTTCCCTCAGTAATCTCACTATCACAGCCCAGAGGTTCTCAACAGGGTTCAAGTTTGGGGAATAAACCTGGCCAGTCCCTGAAGAAGTGAACAAGAGATTTCAAGGTGGTGCCAAGGAGAACTGTCTTTCATAAAAACTTTGCACCAAAAGTGTGTGCAAGATTTAGGCAAATAATAAGAGCAATTCTAGGAATCTTGTTACAGTTAACTTTTGTGAGGATGTTTTTCAAGGCTTCCCTAGATGTAGTTTTGTTGTAAGCATGTCCCTTAACATTGTCCCCAAAGAACTGACACAACCAGGTCCTTTCTGGACTCTCACAGGCCATCAGAGGCTTCTGCTATTTCCTTTTTTTGAAAGGCCTGCCTTATGTAATCCAAAATCTTTGTAATTGTCTCATGACAGTTCTTACTCCTCTTATTAACCCTTAAACTGTCCAAACATAGATCTACATTTTTACCCGTAGGGCTCCGACCTTTATTTTCCCCATAAGAAAGAATGTAAAAAATGTAGATCTACGCTCGAAGTGCTACGCGAGTGAACGTAGAAATACGTTTGGACAGTTTAAGGGTTAATTCAATAGCCAGAAACGACTGATAAACTTGGTCCTCACAATCACACAGTACAGGGGTGCCATGACAAAACCATCCACCACACAGCACAGGGGTGTCATGACATGACACAAAACTATCCACCACACATTACAGAGGTGCCATGACACAAAACCACCACCACACATTACAGGGGGGCCGTGACACAAAACCATCCACCAAACATTCAGGGGTGGGGAAAACCCAAAAACCTCCACCACCTTACGGGATGCCAGACACAAAACCATCCCCACACATTACAGGGGGCCGTGACACAAAACCACCACCCACATTACAGGGGTGCCGTGACACAAAACATCCACCACACATTAAAGGAGTGCCGTGACACAAAACCATCCACCACACGTTACAGGGGTGCCATGACAAAACCTTTTCACCACAGAAGCCGGGAATGCATTTAATATGCAACCAGAAAGTAGTCTTAAGAATCCCACTTTGAGTTGCAGAACCAGCATAATTTTTCTCACTGACAAATCTACCAGGATGAGGTATTACTTTGAAAATAAATTATGATGGGTTGCCTTCCACTGAGCATACTTTAAATTTGAGTTCCTCTCCTAACCTAGTATATCACCAGGTTATCCTTCCTCTCGATGTACTTCTTACATCTCCTAGGTACTGACAACTCTCAAGTATGGAGGATAAGAGAGTTTATATCCTCTCACACCTGCTTAATGGCATTCCAGTGTGGTGATAGTAGTCATGTCCATGACATGAGCTTACACTTAATGGGGTTCCAGAAGTTCTCTATTGGATTTAAGTCCAGTGATTACCAGTAAGATCATCAAAGGTTGAAACTTCACTATCACTTACCAATTTTTTATGTCTTTTGGAAGTATGATGACAGGCACTGTGTTATATACAAATTTTGCCCTGGCACATCTTGAAACTGTCCAGCTAATAGTCTGCTGAAAGCATACTTATGCATTTACATATTTTGATGCTTACTAATAAGGGGAATCTACACATTAACATTCAAGCTAATTTATTAAACTGAATCATATATTTTTAATTATGATACACACAATTTACAATTAGATTCCCCATTAGATAATAGAATCTGGGAGCTTGACCTTGGTGGGAAGTGCTGGTGCTTGGGGATCTCCTCATCGGTCAGGCTCAGTCGGGTCAGGTCCTCGGGTCATACCAACTTAACCGGCATGGACATTGGATCTGCTTCCACACTTAATCCATTCTGCTGACAAATTTTGTTCATTTTAACTCATTTTTAAGAAAAAAGGTTTTCCCATATTAATAGCTCATAAAAGCCTTACATGGTGGAAGAATGGGTTGTTTATATTGGGAGCAAGGAGGAGACTGGAGGCAGTGGAAATGTCATATCGGGGGGAGAGGGCAATGTGGGATGTGAATATAATGCAGAGAAATTTTTAGCTGGATATTAGGACAATGGGGTGGGGGTACTGAAAGTGTTACCCAGAGGGCAGAAGACAGGTTGTTTAGGTGGCTCAGACATCTAGGAAGAAAATAGGATGACTTGGAGGATGTATAAATCTGTAGTGAAGGGAAGACAGGGTAGGAGTCATCTTAAGAAAGGTTAGAGGGACAGAGTAAAGAAGGTTTTGTGTGAGGGAGTTAGATATCCAGCAGGTGTGTGAGTGTGTTAGTAGTGGAGGCAAGCGGTTTTTATGACTGTTGGAGTGTGAGCAAGGTAACAATTATGAAGGGATTCAGGAAACCAGTAAACTGGACTTGAGTCCTAGACATGAGGTAGGGATGTTTGCAGTTTTGAACTGTAACATCAGTTCCCCTCTGGCAAGACATGTGATGGAATGAGTAATGGTGAAAGTGTTTTCTTCTTTTTCAGATCATACTACATGGTGGGAGATGCGTGGCGTGTTTAAAAAAACAATAACACTCTCTTCAAGAATGCTCTGATACTGAAAGGCTGTGCGAACAAATTCAAACTACCTTTCTAAAATTCAATTTAAACCTCATTAACTGCACTCCATTTATGACCCTTATGGTCTAGAGCTTTCCCATCATTATCCACTGGGGTCTAGATCTTCAAACAATTACCCTTTCAATACCCAACTTCTAGGATCATCTTTCCCAATTTTATTCTCAAGCTCGTTCTTTTACGCATAGCTAAATTGGCCTTCCTTATATTTCTTGAAATTTTAACTTAATTCAGGAATAAAACTCACTACCATATTCTCATTATTTACTAACCGTCTCAATGACTTACACATAATATATAACTGCCCAAGGAAAGGAACAGTAACATTTAATAAGTTATTCCAACCTAACAAAACAACACTTTGGTAATTATAGGTGCTCCTTGAAAAATATCCTACGCAGGATATGAATATATAACTAAAAAACTACTCTCACTGAATAACTAACTAAATCAATAATTACTATAACTAAATACTAGTACAGTAGGGTCCAGCTTTATGGCGTTCCGCTAATATGGTCATTTCAAATTATTACCAAAATTCTCCATACGGCTCCCCTCACCTGACTTTCTAATATGGTCACCGCGCCCCACCCTGTTTGTTTACATTCTATGTGAGATCCGTAAGCACTAAGTCTCTCCATTATGCCTGGAAACTCCAAAATTTCAAGTGTTTTTAAAAGTCATTTTATATATACGCTGATAATTATACTTATGTATACCTGTACCTAAATAAACTTACATACTGTGCTGGCATGCAGGTACACATTGAAATCAGTAAGAGTGTCTTATGTCTCGAGACACCATATTAGTAATGATAATAATAATCACAGTCTCATTAAATGTCGTATATTACGTTAATATACGCATTTTCATTAATCCATCTATGATATTTTTTCAAAATTTAATAAAATTTAAACACAAAACGCATAACTTTATAAAGATGATAAAAAACACCCCCCAGAAAGAATAAATAAACTAATTATGAGATGTGGTAGCCAGACGACTTGCACAAGTGATGCCATATTAGAAATGATAATAATAATAATAATCATCACCGAGTCCCATTAAATGTCGTATATTACAGTAAATACACACATTTTCATTAATCCATCCATGATTTTTTTTTTTCAAAATTATATAATAAACATGATACATAACTATAAAGAGATAAATACACCCCAAAAATAGCATAAATAAAGATAAATTTTGACTCTAGGTAGTAGGTTGGTAGACAGCAACCACCCAGGGAGGTACTACCATCCTGCCAAGTGAGTGCAAAATGAAAGCCTGTAATTGTTTTACATGATGGTAGGATTGCTGGTGTCTTTTGTCTGTCTCATAAACATGCAAGATTTCAGGTACATCTTGCTACTTCTACTTACACTTAGGTCACACTACACATACATGTACAAGCATATATATACACACCCCTCTGGGTATTCTTCTATTTTCTTTCTAGTTCGTGTTCTTGTTTATTTCCTCTTACCTCCATGGGGAAGTGGAACAGAATTCTTCCTCTGTAAGCCATACGTGTTGTAAGAGGCGACTAAAATGCCGGGAGCAAGGGGCTAGTAACTCCTCCTCCCGTATAAATTACTAAATTTAAAAGAGAAACTTTCGTTTTTCTTTTTGAGCCACCCTGCCTTGGTGGGATACGGCCAGTGTGTTGAAAAAAGAAGAAGAAGGATTGCTGGTGTCTTTTGTCTGTCTCATAAACATGCAAGATTTGATCAGGTACATCTTGCTACTTCTACTTACACTTAAGTCACACTACACATACATGTACAGGCGTATATATACACACCCCTCTGGTTTTTTTTTTATTTTCTTTCTTGTTCTTGTTTATTTCCTCTTATCTCCATGGGGGAGTGGAACAGAATTCTTCCTCCATAAGCCGTGCGTGTTGTAAGAGGCAACTAAAATGCCGGGAGCAAGGGCCTAGTAACCCCTTCTCCTGTATAAATTACTAAATTTAAAAAGAGAAACTTTTGTCTTTCTTTTTGGGCCACCCTGCCTTGGTGGGATATGGCCGGTTTGTTGAAAAAAAAAAATATGAGACATGGTAGCCAGATAACTTGTACAAGTGACAGCAAGAATAACATTTTCTCTAGTCCAACATAAGAGAAAAAGTGTTACTGGGGGTAACTGTAAAAACTTATTCCTTTCGTATGTAAGTTTATTCAGGTATACACAAATACAGTTACATAGATTATCATACATAGCAGCATGTGTAAAGTACCTAGGATAACCCAAAAAAGTCAGAGTGACTTATTTCTATTGCCTTCATTCAGAGTGTCATTTCTTCTAAAAATGGTGTTACATGAGAATGGGAGTGTTACTCTTTATTTATTCCACCGTATCAATGTAGAGACAACTTGTACACAATGTAATTTGTACACAAACCAGACGTGTATGCCTGGCTTGTTTACAAAACTGGAGTTCACCTGGTTTGTTTACATAACTCTGCACCTGTCCTCCCTCATGTACTCATTCTCTCTCTCTCCCATTTATTCGTTTTATCTCGTTTACTCACCCAACCCTACATTAAGACTACAAATATTTAGTAATGAGTGAACTGTATATGCATTTTATTGCTCTGAGATGCTTAAATATCATAGAATAGTATATGTGGGTGGGGTGATCTGGCTGACTACCATACACACCACACTCGATTTCATACAATAAATACTACTCATCTCACCCTAGATTAAGACTACAAATATTTTAAGGTAAGAATGAGTGAACTGTACATGCATTTTATCGCTCTGGGATGCTTAAATGTAATGCAATATTATGTGTGGATGGGGTGGCCTGGTATGGTAGCCCAGCTGGCTACCATACATACCACACTTGATTTCTTACAATATACAGTGGACCCTCAACTAACGCTATTAATCCGTTCCTGAGAGCTCATCGTTAGTCAAAATAATCGTTAGTCAAGTTAATTTTCCCCATAAGAAATAATGGAAATCAAATTAATCCGTGCCAGACACCCAAAAGTATTGAAAACAATTTTTTTAACACATGAGATATTAATTTTAATACACACAAACTGAAGAAGACATGCACAGTTACATGACACTTACCTTTATTGAAGATCTGGTGATGATTGATGGGATGGGAGGAGGGAAGAGTGTTGATGGTCTTAGTGTTTAGAAGGGGAATCCCCTTCCATTAGGACATGAGGTGGCAAGTCCTTTTTCAGGGTTACTTCCCTTCTTCTTTTAATGCCACTAGGACCAGCTTGAGAGTCACTGGACCTCTGTCACACAACATATCTGCCCATAGAGGCCTGTACCTCCCATTCCTTTATGACATTCCTAAAGTGTTTCACAACATTGTCAGTGTCACCATTAAACACTTGTTCAGGTTTCAGTCCTTCACTGTCTATGTACTCCTTGAATTCCTGCACATATTTTCAGCTGCTTTTTGGTCCAAACTGGCAGCCACACCATGCCTTATCACACTATGTATGCCACTACGATTCTTAAATCTCTCAAACCAACCTTTGCTGGCCTTAAATTCACTCGCATCACCACTAGTTGCTGGCATTTTTCTCATTAAATCGTCATGCAACTTCCTAGCCTTTTCACATATGATCGCTTGAGTGATGCTATCTCCTGCTATCTGTTTTTCATTTATCCATACCAATAACAGTCTCTCAACATCTTCTATCACTTGCGATCTCAGTTTCGAAAACATAGTTGCACCTTTGGCAAGAACAGCTTCCTTGATTGCAGTTTTCTTGGCCACAATAGTAGCGATGGTTGATTGGGGTTTTGTGTACAGCCTGGCCAGCTCGGAGACATGCACTCCACTTTCATATTTAGCAATGATCTCTTTCTTCATATCCATAGTAATTCTCACCCTTTTTGCTGTAGGGTTGGCACTAAAAGCTTTCTTGGGGCCCATGGTGACTTATTTTGCAGGTGCAATCACTAAAAAGGCTGTGATAATATGAAATGTTCCGATTGTATGCTTGGAAGCGACCTCGGTGGCTGGCTGGCTTGTAAACACTGGCCAGAAGTGGACGCGTTTCAGATGGAATGAATAGTGTTGGTCGAGTTTTTTAGCGCTAATTGAGGCAAAATTTTTGCGATAAAATGTATCGCTAGTCAAATTTATTGTTAATCGATGCCATCGCTGGTTGAGGGTCCACTGTACATACTTGTCTCACGCTAGATTAAGACTACAAATATTTTAAGGTAAGTAACGAAAGTATAGTAGTACCAACACTCTATTATGGGTGTGAAGCTTGGGTTGTGAATGCAGCAGCG